TTTTTTTAGCAGAAGAATCCTCCCCTTTTCTAAGCCCATGCTGCTTGATATCTCCAATAAAGTTCACAGAATCACAGTATCTCAAAGGAATATCTGGAAGAATCTGAAAACTTTTGATTCATCCTGAGCTATGACTTTGTTTTGCATATTCATCTTATCATAGTTTAGGCTGTGACCATGAACAAGGTCACTATATCAGGAACATTCCCTATGGAATGGTTAGTCAGGAATGTCTTCATGTTGATAGATCTCGGAACATTTATGGCTTTCTCTACAACTTCTTTTCATGACACAAATTTAGTTTAGTTGCTACTTCCCAAGAAAGCATGCTCTACTTGCTTCTACTTGGACTTGCTCTCCGGGGGACCTTGTCAATTGGACCCCATCCTCTTTGATCTCCATGGTGAAGATTTTCTGTGTAATCATGTTTTCCTCTGTCTCAGAACTTTTTCTCACATTTTTGCGCATCTTAAGTTCAAATTGTCCTTTACACATACAAGTGAAATGAGAGATGAAAAGAAAACGCATCCTTGGACCAAGCACCCTGAATATATATTCTTACTGACAATTTATATATATTGTAGCAATGGATGAAATTGTGACCATACATTATATGAAACAGAGGACAGAAAATTACCTGTTAAATCAGAATCAAAGAAGCTAGCTCCGAGTAACTTGGCACCCTTAAAATTGGCTTGCCTCAGTATTGACTGACACAAATTATACACAAACTCCATGAGCTCCAACCCAAATAAGAAAGCAACAAGAAAAAAAAAACAGTAGCAGGTCATAGCGACCATATCTTATCTTTAAAATGTCCTTGAAGACTTCTATAAAGCGTTTTTAATGAGAGTTTAAAAAACAAATAAAGGAATCAAGGGTCCCAAACCTTATTTCATAGTCAAAATCTGTGTGGCATCAAATGAAAAAAAAAAAATGGTTTGTCGACCTATAACCTTGGCTCAGTTGGTGGGTACGGTTCGCTGGCTAATTCAAGCCCTTACAGAAGACATCTCCTTCACTAAGGTTTCAGGGCAAGGTATAAATAAAACTTGTATTAGACAAAGCTGTGCCAGATTATAAAGTAAACACCGTTTTGAAGTCTTGCTTGATCAAACTTTTGCCACTAAAATCCTTCCCACTGAGATCTTGGCCTCTCGTCACTTCAGAGCCATACGGACCTCCACCCTTTTCGACATTATCAAATTTCCATCAATAAAAACAAACAAAAAACCAAATTCAGAGCAATTTCTACTCCATAATTTCGAAAGACAAAAGGGTTTAAATACCTTGAACGCGAGTGCAGGATCGGCAGCGAAGACGAGTGAAGCAGAGAGAAGAGCGAGAAAGCTTGCTCTGGAGATCGATTCACCCAAAGAGAATACAAGATTATTTGAGGCCTGAGGCTGGTTCAGACCCTGTAAAGAATGTATCGTCAAATTGGCAAAGTTGTAAATCAGGTTCAATTAGTTTTTCAGAGATTGAGAGGAGAAAGAAGAGAAGAGTACCTGGGGGATACGGTGGGTGGGTAGGGAGGGCAAAGAGGAAACTTGGGTTGTGGAGAGAATGGGTTTGGGATTTGGAGGGAGATTGGAACACAAGCAGACGTTGAGAACAGCCATTGCTGTTGGCGATGGATTGGATAACTAATGTTCGAATTTGTACTTTTGGACAATCCATATTATATATACACCCCTGCATTTTTGGATAATGTTATTTGGGACCTAAAACTTTGATATAATTAATAATGTATCAAATGATAGAATTATTCAACGGTTAGGATTACAATAATAGTACATTTTGGATGGTGACAGGAAGAGTGATTTATCTGATAATTTTTTCTTCGTCGCTCAAAACAAAAATCAAACTCTGCCATGCATAAATGGGCCGTTGGTAGCTGGAAGCTTAGTTTTTGCAGTCTAGTTCCTCATCTAATCTATGGGCTGCTGGTCATGATGATACGCTTTGTTTTATGGACGGTGTCTGAAGCCCATTATTACAACCAGTCTTTGGGCTCTGGGATGCGGCAAGCTTTGTTTTACAGACCATTTGTTTTGGCCCAATTCTACATCTACTCTATGGGCTGCAGGTTTATGACCCATCAGCAAGATTCTAAAGACCATTAGGGCTCTAGAAATGTGTTCTGAAATAATAGATTAAGTCATTTACATGACTTTTCTTTGGCAATATCTTTTAGAGTTTAAGGAGATACGGTTTTTTTTAGGTTTTCAGCTTAAAAATTAGTAGGGACCGGCCCTTTACCCTCTTAAATTTGGTTGGAGCAATCTCTAAACAATTAGGAATAAAATCAGGAAAGACTGACGTGTTGAACAGAGAAGACCACCCTCTGAGTTGCTTTGAGGTATTTTGAGTTGTCTGTGCTCTTCGATTTTAGTTTGAATCATCTTTTCATCCCATTGACAATCGCTTTACCATTGCTCGAGCAGTTGTTCGCAAATTTTGATTTACTTGATCCCCAAATAAATCCTATTTCGAGCCTATTAATAGAAGGAAGTCTTCCATGCTAGGTAAGCCTCTATGAGCTAGCAGAGGCCAAAACATTTATAGAGAGCTTAAAAAACCCTAGATCCCTAAGATCCAATAACCTATATCATTTTGATCATTCATATTCAACTTCACATAGTGGAGAAAGATATCTTGTGTGGTGAGAAACAAAACCCACTTTAGTGTGTGCATTCTAAGAGCCTTGGGTGTGAAGCATTGAAGATTGCTCGAAAAGCCTAGATGGTTCATTGCGATGAGTGCGTCCAAGTGAAGCTATTTAAGTCTTTAGTGGGTGATATCTTGAGGAGATATGTTATGACAAAAAAGAGCATTTAGTCGTGAGAAGTGGTTGAGGTATAAATCTAGACTACATATAAATTGTCTTTAAATATAGTGGATTAAGCTCTTGGTGAACACGGAGTGGTTTATTGCGATTTTTTCCAAAAAAGATTTATGTTCAACAAATTACATATGTTGTGGATGTTCTTACACAAATTATCCTATCGACCTCAATTAAGACGATAGCGACTCACACATAAACTGCTCAATATCTTTCTTATCGCACAATCTTTTAGTTTAACCTAAGTGCAATTATCGTACGAGTTTTCATTTCAACCTAAGAGCAATAGTTGTTACGCTATATTGCTTGATTTATGTAATTCGTGGTGTTTTATTATAAGAAATGAGGAGGGAAAAAAAAACTTGACTTGGCCGATTCAAAAAAATAAAGTTACCAGTGAGGCTTAAAGAAAAAGCACGCCCGCTAGTTGCTCAATTGATTGCTTTTGAATTGGGGGTGTATCAATAGAACAAAGGAAAGGAAAGGAATGGAAAGCAAAAAACAGGAAAATAATATACTTAACAAGTTAAATGTTTGAATTTGGTGTGTACAAATTTTTTTATGATAAACGAATCAAATAGGTCTATAATTTTCACGTGTGAAAAGGTTATCGTGTAAATCTAAAATTGACCCAAACGACCCATTTATTTGGTGGGTTATATGGGTCCGGTCAGATAACCAATTAAATAAATGTTTCATGTTCTAATTTTACTATTTTTGCACATTTAATAGACTTTTCGTATACGTGTTGAGTAGTTTTAGATATGAACCCCTTAATTCGACACGGATCCGTTTAATCTAACATGATTGTCACTCCAAGTTGATAATATACAACGGAATCACAGATTAACTTTCCTTACCAATTTTATCTTTCCAATATTCAATCCAAGAGTGATGCCGAGGAGAAGAATGTGGAGAAATTCATATGTACAAACATATAAATGAATTATTTATATAGTAAACTTATTTGTAAAATATATAAATTAAATATGATTTATTTTTCTTGATAAAATTATGGGTTTTTCCTAGAGACATATTTTAAAAAAAAACACTATCAAACAATATATATATATATATTTTTTTTTTATTCAACGGTCAAAAATATTTAGACAATGCACTTTGACTAATTTCTCTTATGACCTCACTTGGGAGATTGCCAAAATTTGAAGTCACGAAACTCATTCCTCCCCGAGAAACTCCTACAGAAAAGGAACTTTTCTTGCCAACTACAAGGAAAATTCATTGAACCCCTAACTAAATATTTTTTTTTCTCACCAACCACAAAACTTTTTCCCATTTAGAATGGAGACTTGAAGGAGGAATTTCTTCCTTATAATACGTACAAAATTTTAAGCTATGATGTCATTCTTTTACAACCTACTCCAAGTCCTATTGGAAGGATTAATAAATTCTAACACCCAATTCAATTTAACTATGTTGCCCGCGCCTCATTTTTTTTTTAATGAAAACACACCAGATGATACATGCATATTTTAATTGTCTATGCCTTGTTACTATCAAGCACGCTATCCTTTTTCTTACCGAGAGGACAAACCACAAGAGCTTGGAAAATTGAATACTATTCAAGATAAATTATATTGATACCTCTAATTATATTTTGATAAGTTAAAGGGTTATTGGTGCAAATTCTTATATTACACCTCTCTACCTTTTGGTAAGAATTAAAAACCCCACAAAAAGTGTTGTTAACTTTGAGGACTATCCGTGTAATTTTTCTCCCCCACTTTTTTTTTTTTTGGGGTACATGGGAAAGTTAAAAACATAAGTCAGCGTTTAATTTAAGCTTTGTTCACAAGTTAAGGGCTCTTAACAGACCAACTCATTGGATTGCAACCATGAAATTATCTAACTCAATTCTTTTGAGTTGCGTGTATTGCCCTCTCCATGAACTTAAGGTTTTTTTGTCTAGTGATTGTGATCAACATTTTCCGACCTAATGAAATGTGCAGATCTGATTACCTTAAAAAAAACTAGACTCTTTTCTTTAACAATAAAAAAAGTCTTCCCAATTAGAAAGTTAACGCGTGAATTATACTTAATGCACTAAAATATTTTAAAAAATTTATTTTATATCTTCAAAGATTTCCTATTTTTATGATTTTTAAGATGCATTTGACCAGAAAAAAGAAGAAGAAGTGGAATGAACAAATGATTCCTATTTTTACTTCTTTTTTTTTTTTAATTTGTTGGCTTTTATCAAGTTGATAATTTGAAAATTTTATTTACGAAACAATCAATCTAAACAACATTTCTATTTTCATTATTTTTTGAGTTACTATTCAAACATGTTTTATTATATTTTTTTGTTCCTGAAAATTGTTTTTGAATTATATAACCAAATAAGTTCTGCACTACAAAAAAAAAATAAAAAGATTTTTTTGAGATACAATCCAAATATGCGCTAAGTTTTTTGTATATTTTGTACCATCAATATATTAAAAATATTACACTATAATCCTTTCATTAATTTTCTTTACTCATCCCGTCCATTTCAAAGTGATGAAATTTAACTAAGTAAATAACGAAAGATAACAGAAGGACCACAATACAATAATTTTAATACATCAAAAGAATATAATGTGAGAAATTTTGATGATGCACAAATTGGTTTTGCACACCACCTGGCAAGTAATTAATGCAGATAATAAAATAAAGAGAAACTCAACACAAGCAATATACAACTTAAATGGTTCGGTTAAGGTGACTTACTCCACTGTAAAGGGCTAGGATTGTCTAAGTGTTTTATTGTTGTAGGAGTGTAAGGAAATCAAGCAAAAGCAATGAGAGTTCAAGTGAGATACAAGCTATGAGAGAGATGAGATTAATGCCAGATTGTGAGAGATGCCCCCCATGTGTAGGCAAAATTTACATTTTATAGTCATTTCCTAACAGATTGATGTGACTTATCAGTAACTAAAAAACTAATTTGGTGAAAATGACGTCATCTGCAAAACGGATGATGCTGTTGCGGGACTCTCCTCAAGACTAAGTCTTAGGATGATGTGATTAACTTCCTTGCTCCTTACTTTAAGATGACATAGATGAGGCTCTTAAAATGATTCTGCTTACTCTTTAATGAAGTGACTTTTAGAGCCTTGATGAGCCTAATTAGGCGTAGATTTCTTTTGGGTTAGACCCATTGGATTTTGTCTAGGTGGATCATTTATTCAAGTTGGGCTCACAATCTGAGTTGGGTTTTGGGCTAGATTCATCAAATTTTATTTTAAAGTGTGCAAAATATGAAAACTTAAATTTTTAAGGGTACAAAATAAAATTCCACCAAAAGTTAACAAACACAACCAATCACCAATTGTCTAGATAGGTGTAGGTGATGCCACTTGCCATTCCATTGAAAAAATGGAACTGAGATTGTGGGTACTTTAATTACACCATTAAATCGGCATGGGGACAAGCAATGTGTAAGGCTGAACAAGTCATTCAAAGTCGTAAGGGGTGACGTTCAATTTAATATTTTTAATTAAAAAATATTATTGAGATTTAATTTATTAACATAATTTATTAATTTAATTTATTGTGGCATTTAAATTGATTGCATGTTCCATTAAACATTAAACTTGATACTGATTCAATAATTTTTATACAATCACATTATTATGTCAATAAATTAATTCAAAATTTTAGGTTCAATAATATTAACAATCGTATATTGGAGTGAATGAGACCTCATCAATTAATTTTAACATTTTGTTGAATTGATACATAATTTCAATATAACGTTAAGTGAAAAATATATAT